GTGCTGGGCTTGGGGCGTTGCTGGCAGCCCCACCCGCTCGCTTCACTTCTGTTACTTCCCTGGTCCTCAGGGCTCTCTGAGAACAGCCCCTTCCCCAAGCCCCTGCACGTTCACCTCCCGAGTGTCCACCTGTGAGGGAGGCCCCAGCTCTCGCTCTCACAGGGGCTTCTGGCTCTTCAGTGAACTGTCCCTGAGATGTGGGGTCTTGGGGAGACCAGGGTCAGCAACAGTAACCAAACCCCAGGGTGAGCTCCAGATTGGCTGTCCCCGCAGAGCCTGGCTGCTGTGGCCGTCATTGCGCCTGGGGCCTGGGATTCCTGGGGGAACCCACCGTAGAACCACTTCTACAGCCTCACCCACCGGCCTGGAGGCCCGGCTTCCTTCTGAAGCAATTTTCCTCCAAGAGGGATACAGGCTCGCCCAGGGCCTCGGTGGACCAGCCTCCTCCCCTCAGGTTCCCCTGGAATGGGGAACAGAGACCCCTAAGGGACTCTGCAGGACAGTGTGGCACCGCCGGCCCCAAAGCCAAGTCCCCTTGCACAGACCCCTGTCCCCCGCCCCGTCCCTAGGAAGGCCCGGCATTCCATCCAGACGGGTAGCATCTGAAGGGTGAGAAAAATCCTTTTTTCTTCGATACAAAAGTCAAAGAAGAACGTAGGCTAAATGCTGTCCCTATTCTTAATGTGTTAAAGAGACGGGTGTTTGTAGAGACAGCGAAGAACAAGATGCAGAACTCCGGTTTGCAGGTGAGCCAGAAGCAGAAGAGAGGACGCAGTAGGAGGTCAGAAGGAAACCCAGTTGTCAGTGGTCCCACGTCTGTTATGGGTTTGAGCATTTAGTATCTGCCAGGCACAGAGCTGGGCATCGTCGCCTTTAATCTTCACAGCAGCCCAATGCGGTGGGCATCGTTATTATCCCCAGTTACCAGGTGAGGTGGCTAAGGCTCAGAGACTTTAACTTGTCCAGAGCCACGCAGCTCAGTAGGAGAGCTGGAACTCAATGCAGGTCCCCCACCCAGGTGAGCACGGCGTGCCTCCCTCGAGATCATAAACATCCAGGTAATAACATTTCGGCTGGCATTTCTCTTGAATTCCAAGGAAGCAGCCTCTAGAATACTCTTTTCTTAAGAGCTGAGAATCAAGACTATGAAATCCTAAACCTGCTGAAACACTGCCGTTCACAGTTCAGCCCCGGAACTGGAACTGACCCAACCTACACTCGCACTTTGCAGAGAATAGAAGCAGCTCTCAGGAAGCTCAAGAGCAGACACATTTTCACTGGGAAGGAGAGAGGAGATATATTTGAGTTTGATGAAAGGCCACAATCATTCTGAGACAACAAAATTATCAAGGTGATCCTAGGTAAGGGACATTTTGGGGAAATAGAAGTCTCTTCTCAACCAACCCCCGCGGTCTAAGACTAGAGGGTGGGTACTCCCCAGAGCAGGATGTTCGGAGGGCAAAGCGCATCCCGAGGGCCCCCCTAGATCCGAGCCCTTTGCCACCCTGCAAAGTGGGAATGAGTGGGAGCCTTGTCACTTACTCATCTGCACATATGGTAGAGCCCGGAGCAGGCAGACACCGCCCTGGAGCTAGGCTTTGTCTGAGGACCAACTGGGGATGTGAGATGACAGAGGAGATACTGGGGTGAGCCCGATATCTTGGATGTTGTTGGAAGATGTACATCCCTGAGATGTGAAGCCTCCTGGAATTTCAGGCCGCCGCTGGTCTTAACAGAATGTGGGTCGGTGATGCAGAGGATGTGAGTAGGTGATGTGAGTAGATGATGCAGTGGATGTGAGTAGGTCAGGTGGTGGATGTGAGTAGGTGATGTGAGTAGGTGAGGCAGAGGATGTGAGTAGGTGATGTGAGTAGGTGAGGCAGTGGATGTGAGTAGGTGATGTGAGTAGGTGGTGCAGTGGATGTGAGTAGGTGATGTGAGTAGGTGGTGCAGTGGATGTGAGTAGGTGATGTGAGTAGGTGGTGCAGTGGATGTGAGTAGGTGATGTGAGTAGGTGGTGCAGTGGATGTGAGTAGGTGATGTGAGTAGGTGGTGCAGTGGATGTGAGTAGGTGATGTGAGTAGGTGGTGCAGTGGATGTGAGTAGGTGATGTGAGTAGGTGATGCGGGGATGTGAGTAGGTGATGCGAGGGATGGTGGGGCTTCAGCTGAGAGCACAGACCGAGCTCCCCGGCCCTCCAGCCCTCTCGTAGAGCTCAGTGTCTAGAACCTCCTCCGCACAGAAGAGTTTCCTCCAGGTTCCTTGCAAAGTGTGGCTTGGGGTGTCCTTCCTCCAAGTGTGCCCGAGCCCTGTGAGCCTGGAGCCATCGTGACCCCCTTGAGAAAGGACGTGTGGGATCGGATCCTCAGTCCTGCCCACTCACAAAGGAGTCTCTGCCCATAGCGAGCTTCAGAACGGGCAGCTGCAGCTGCTTCCTCTCCAAGGTGGTGGTGGGGCGGGGGGTGTTCTGTCCTCCAAAAGCCATTCCTTGGTTAGATTTGATACTCATCGCAGCTAACAGTCTTTTATAATTACTTGTCAGTTGTATGCTAATGAGGAAACTCTTCTCCTGAACAAACGTGTATTGAATATCCAGTCTAGACCACATGCTGTGCCGGGCGCTAGGGCTGGAAAAGTAAACAAAAGGCTACTCCCCCGGCTCCCATTCAGTCAGCAATATTCACCCAGAGCCTAGGATGGGCAGGGACTCTCCAGGTGCTGGGTTTCAATCACGAATTCTCAGTGGGGGCAGTATCACCCCCGAGAGGGCAAAATTCCTCTTGGGAAATGTATAAAGCACAGATGTACAGACAGTGCTATCTGTAATGTTAACATGAGTGTGGGAGCAACTAAGAAAAAATGGCTAATGTGATGAAAAAAATGTCCACCTGGGCGTTGCTATTTCAATGACCGGCTTCTAGCCGCGCCATTTCAGTCTAAGGATGAGCCAGGTGCTTCCAGACATCCCAGCTGAGTGCCTGGTGGTCACCTGTGGTCCCCGGTTCAGGGAAGGCCCTGCCACGTCTCCCCTGCCCTTCCTGCCCTCATCTGCATTTTTCACATTTCTCATTCCCCATCTCTTCTTCTTCCCAGGCGCCCATCCCGGCTGCCTTCTGCTGCCCCCCTCCCCTTGTCACTCAGAAAGGTGGACCAAACCCCCAAACTCTTGGCAGACCTCGGGGCAGGGGACCCTGGACTGGGGACCCTTGACTTGTAACAAACTCCCTGGCTCTAATTCCGACAGCCAGCCCCTGGGTCAGGGCACTGGCATTGGGGAACCATCCCAGCCAACACTTTTATTGAAAATCAAATGAAAGAGGATGTGAAGGAAAGGTGGTTTCCAGAGGAAAGTTCTCAACATCTGCTGTCTGTTTTCCTCTTCTCCGGCACGCAGACCAAGGAGCTTTGTGGGCGGGTGCAGACGTTAGCGCTTCTCACTCCGAGATGATATTGAGCGCAGTCGCACAGCACAGCACACCCAGGGCTCTGCCAGCCACGGCACAGGCCTCTGGGAGGGATGCTCAGACCTGCCTTAACGTGAAAAGAGCTCAAGGGGTGGCCCAATGGCCCCTTCCATTGAGATCTACCCAGAACCCCTCTCGGCCGCCGAGGAAGACAGGGCGGGTATTCTGGTCCCTGATTGACAGATGAGGAAACCGAGGGTCCCGTAGTAAGTGGCAAAACTGATATTCAACCACCCACAGCCCTCTTCCCTCAGGGGTATTGTGTCCTCACTGTAGAGTCAAAGCCTGCAGGGAGTAGAGCTGGAATTTGAAACCAGTTGTACAGCTTGCAGGTTGCAATCTGCCTTTAGTAGGTGCAGGACACAGAGAGAATCTTAGGCTGCAATGAATACAAACCTATGCAGGAGGAGGGAAGGGGCTTTTATAAGGATACCAGAGTGAGCATCTCATAAACATGGAAGAGCTGAGCCCTAGCTGGTTTAGCTCAGTGGATAGAGTGTCAGCCTGCGGACTGAAGGGTCCGGGGTTTGATTCCGGTCATGGGCATATGCCCGGGTTGCAGGCTCCATCCCCTGTCGGGGACATGCAGGAGGCAGCCAATCAATGATTCTCTTTCATCATTGATGTTTCCATCTCTCTCTCCCTTTCCCTTTCTGTCTGAAATCAATTTTTTAAAATGTTAAAAAACAAACAAACAAAAACGAAGAGCTGAAAGGGAGTCTGGCCTCTCCCTTTCCCTTTCTGTCTGAAATCAATTTTTTTTAAATGTAAAAAAAACAAAAAACACGAAGAGCTGAAAGGGAATCTGGCATAAACAAAAACGAAGAGCTGAAAGGGAGTCTGGCCTCGTGTCTCTTACACACACACACACACACACACATCTCTGCTCTGCATTGTCTTTCCGTATCTCTGCGATCTCTCTCCAATCATGTGATAGGAAGGGATGACCTCGAGGTCCCCCAGTTCAAAGGCCCAGCCCAGGGAGCGAGTAACCTCTCAGAGCCCATTAACCCCAAATCCTGGGAGTGGTCACCTTAAAAGCCCAGCCTGTGCCAAGTGTCCAATCAACCATGACCAGGGCCAGGCCAGAGCCACACCATGGCTTCCGGGAGTCAGGCAGCGCTCGGAAAAGGGCTAATTAGACCCTCCAATCTCCTGCGTTGTCCCTCCTATGACATCAGAGACCTAAGACACAGCTGTTCGGTGAAAGCTTTTCGGAGAAAGATACTCCATCACAGTGAATGTGTTCATCCTAAGACGCTCCTGGTTTGAGAAACATGAATGTTGACAGGGAGAATGTCGCCTGTATACCTGGAAGGGTGGACACCACAAGCCTTCCGAATGCTCACTTTGGGCGGTGCGATAATGGCGGATCATTTTAGCTTCTTTTGCTTACATCTATGTGTATATATACTGTATTTTTTTAAGGAAAGATTTATTTTGAGTAAAAAAACAACAAAAAACATTTGAGTGGAATGTTTGGGGATCTCACTGCACTTATAGATTTAACGCATTTATGTCTCTTGTTGGTTCAAGGCTGGAGCCAGAAAAGCCGCCCCAAAGACAGACCAAGAAAGAGAGACGCTGAAGAGAGAGTCCCCCAGCAAATCCAGCCAGAGTCTGCAGGTCTCGAAGCCTGGTGGAAGGAACTAGAAATGCCATTGGCCGGCCTTGCAAAATCCTCTGTGAGTCGGTGTGACTCTTCTGGGTCAAAATACTAAGATGCTTTTGTAGGATGTTAAAGCGTGTTCCCCTTGTGTGTTGCTTCCGAGACTGGTATTTTACACAATGCTGTATTTTGTTCTGTTTTTTTCTTTCTTTCTTTTTTCTTCCTTTTCGTTTTTCTATTTTTTTCTGCACAATACTGTATTTTGGAATGTGTGAGGTGAGGCGTTCTTTATTAAAAATAATAATGTATACATACGTAGGCATGTGAAGAATATCAGTTCGAAACCCAGACATATGGGTCTAGGCCAGTGATGGCGAACCTATGACACGCGTGTCAGAGGTGACACGCGAGCTCATTTTTTTGGTTGATTATTCTTTGTTAAATGGCATTTAAATATATAAAATAAATATCAAAAATATAAGTCTTTGTTTTACTATGGTTGCAAATATCAAAAAAATTTCTATATGTGACACGGCACCAGAGTTAAGTTAGGGTTTTTCAAAATGCTGACACGCCGAGCTCGAAAGGTTCGCCATCACTGGCCTAGTAGATACAATTATCTGGTTCCACGTTTGAGTCGTGACGCACCCAAATGTCACACCACCAAGGAGCGCCAAGAAGCTCACAGTTAAGAAAACCCAAGATGGATACCAGGGCCTCGGGCTAGGATGGTAACCGCAGGGCTGCTGTGAGTTTATTATAATAAATTCAGAATGCCAATCAGTTTTGTCGCCGCCATGATAGTGACTAACATTGATGTGGCACTTGGCAGTTCTCAAAACGCTTCTCATCTGATCCTCCCCCAAGCCCAGGGAGGTAAATACTGTCGTGTTATGTTCCCCATTTGACAACTGAGGAAGCTGAGGCCCAGAGAGGTTAGGTGGCCTGTCGAAAATCACACAGCTAGTGAATTTAAGAGTTGGGTCTGGAATCCAGGTTTCTAGTTCCATTTCATACTACCCATCCTGCTGCACCAAGGGGGCCCCGTAATTCAGGACAGACCAAGTACCCAGTCACAAAGCGCACACTGGCCAGGTGGACCACACCCCTTTTTCATGGTGTGTGGAGAGAACCCCGTTTTTCTTGCTCTGCTCTCTACTTCTCCCACGTTCTACTCCCTCTCCAGCCAGCCATCCTCTTACCGCCTCTCTTTATGGCCAGGACCACCAAACAAAATGGGAGGAAGAGCCAGAAGTTCTGAATATCATTTATTTTTCTATTTTTCAAAAGCCATAATAAAAATAATTTGATATTTCAAAACCAAATGCATGCTTTATACTGATTAAAACTAGAAGGAAATAGATTTTCTTGGTGTGATATTCCACCGAAGGTCCACCTAACCCAGGGTTAGGTTCTAACGTCAGTGAGAAAGGTAGGCATTACCTGGTCTTAACAACACTCTTGAAATTTCTGGAACTTTTTAAAAACATATTATTTATACTGTACCATATCCTAGAAGTCCAAATCAGCAAGTTTTTCTCTAGCATCTGAAGAGACACTTGGGTGGGCAGTAGTTCAAGCATCTGGCTCATGTTTGGGAGCCAATTGTATTAGGAAAAAAATGCTTGTTGGTTGAATATTTGAATTTGCATAAGTTAAATGTAATGCCTATATGACTCCATATATTTTAGGTCTTTCTAAGGATGTGTTCAGTTTTATCCTATGAACATTATAACTCATGATGGCAATTTCTTTTCTCCCTCTCCCTCCCCCTGCACCCCCCTAACCCCACCAAACTAGGTAACTTGTTAGGTGTCTCCCCAGCCACGCGCCCTTTTCTCTGAGAATGCACCCGTCCTGCCCCCAAAAAGGCTTGCCCTGCCTAATACTGCTCTCTTGGCCACAGCTGGTTGGTCAAGCCAGACCAATCAGGTTTCTCTTCTAATTCAAGCTGGGCCAATCAGCACCTCTGTTTTTAGTGTTTGGAAGGGGACTCTGGGATGTCACACAAGTTATTAGTGGTCCTGGAGCTGAGAATCTGATGCAGTCCCAGGGCTGGGATGACCATTTCCTACCTTGTATTTGGAGGAACAAAGCCAGCCTTCAGAGAGAGAGAAGGCTGGGGTAGATATGCAATCGCAGAGACAAGAAACCAAGACCCCAGAGAGACAATGTAGCAGATACTACCGGTCCCTTAGTTATCGCCTCCCTCTGCTGCATAAGCTGAAGGCTGGTTCCCTTGATTTCCCAGCCTCCCTTGCAGCTAGAGTTGGCCATGTTGTTCACTTCTGACCAATGACATGTAAGTGAAGGCCCCTGGGGAGGATTTCTCTTTGGCAATAAAAGGCACATCTTTGCTAGGAGAAAGGTTTTTGCCCTTTTTCCCTTTTCCTTGTCTCCTCTTTGTCTCCTGGAGCTCAGACTTGGAGCTGGAGCAGCCATTTGGGGATCACGAGGCAGCAAGCAAGAGGCTAAAGCCAGCCTCCAACGACAACGGAATGGAAAGATGAGAAGGGCCTGGGGCCGCATCCCTGTGCTCTGCGCCGTGCCTGAACTGCCTACCTCTGTACTTCCTGTTGTGGGAGACAATAAATTTCTTCCTGTTTAAGCCACTGTAGTCGGGTGTACTTGTGGGACAAACCACTCAAAACATAGTGAGTGAAAGTAAAACGATTTATTATCTCTCATGATTCCATGCACCAAGGTGGGCACTTGTACTGGGCTGACTGGCTTGGCCAGGACTGGTTTAGAAGGGCCGCATTTACATGCCTGGTCACTGGCAGCCAAGTTGGGTTAGGTCAGTGGTTAAATCACCTCAATCAGGAGTGATTTTTGCCCCCCAGGGGACATCTGGCAATTTCTGGACACAATTTTTGTTCTTTCAATTGGGGAGGGGGTGCTGAACATCCTACAGTGCCCAGTGTTCCCCACAACAAGGACAAATTTGACCCCAAATTAGCAGTAGCGAGAATGAGAAACCACCGTCTAGAGAGGTTACATCTGGGACAGTTTATCTCTGCTTGGGGTGGTCTCTCGTGATGCAGCTGGCTAGGCCAGGCCCTTCCTTCCTTCCTTTCTTTCTTAATTATATTTTTACTGATTTCAGAGAGGAAGGGAGAAGGAGAGAGAGATAGAAACATCAGTGATGAGAGAGGATTATTGATCAGTTGCCTCCTGCATGCCTCTCCCTGGGGATCGAGCCCGAAACCTGGGCATGTGCTCTAACCAGGAATCAAACCCATGACCACCTGGTGCATAGGTCAATGCTCAACCACTGAGCCACGCCGGCCGGGCTAGACCAGGCTCTTTCATGTGTGGTGCTCACGTTCCCAAGAGCAGCAGGAGAGATCAAGCCCCAAAGTATAAACACTTACCTGCCTTGGGTTTGTTCATATCCCATCAGACAAAGCAAGTCACGTGCCAGAGTCCGTTTGGGAGAGGCTCCGGATTTTCACAATCTACCCACGTCCAGTGTTCTGTTATTTGAAACTGACTGCAGTCCAACTGATACCAATGGAGAAAGTTGCCTTGATTCCTGATAACTTTCTGGTTCCTAATCTTTTTTCTTCAGAAAGCCAGTTCCAATGCCTGCCCCGGGGTCCCACTAGGACCCTTTGTATCACTCAAGATTCTTTGATGGCAAACAACAGAAACCTCCTGTGGCTAACCTAAGCAGATAAGGAGTTTAGTGAAAGGAAATGAGGATCTCTGGCCAGTGTTGCACAGTTGGTTGAGCGTCCTCACGTGCACCAAAAGGTTACTGGTTCAATTCCTGGTCAGGGCGCATGCTCAGGTTTCGGGCTGGATCCCTGGTAGGAGGTGTGCAGGAGGCAGCTGATAGGTGTTTTGCTCTCACATGGATGTTTCTCTCTCTCTCTCTCTCTTATCCCTCCCTTCCTCTCTCTCTAAAAAACTCAATTAAAACATTTTTTTAAAGAAAACACAATATTTTAAAGGGGAAAAAAACAAAGGAAAGGAGGGAAGTTAGAGGATCAAAGGGCAAGCATATCTGAGGAGTCAGGACCGTCGGGAACTGGCTTTCCCTCCCTTTCTGCTTCAGCTGGTTTGAATTTGTTAGTTGCTACCAAAATGACCTTTACTGAGACACTGTTCCACAGCCCGCTCTGGGAAGCTACCAGAAACCTTTCCCCTGGGGTTGTATCTCGGT